ACACTTTGGGCTGTGGGAAAGAGTCACAAACTGACCGTTATGCACCAGGTCCCAAAGCATCAAGTGCTGAGTTGCTTTGCGGGGATTGGTGGTTTGGAGTTGGGAGCATCCCAGCCTGTTCCCCAGTTGGAATCACAATGACTGTTAAAACCATCATCGGGTTTGTTTTGTTTGGATGCCCCAGGTTTTGCGAAATCCGAGCAGTGGCCAGCTCCTCAATAAATCTTTTGAGACCTTCTATCTATTTAGTATTTGCTGTTCGAGGTAGAGAAGGACACATTCTGCCAGGAGGTTCTCATGAACCGAATGTTGGAAGGGAACCTTCCTTCAGTCCCAATTTTCGACGATATCGCGCAGTTCAATGGGGTCCCCTGGATTGGGATGATTGATGGCATAACAGCTGGATTCCCGTGTCAGGTACTTCTGTCTTGCTTAAACGTTTGGCTTCTTGCTTTATCAAATATCATTTGATTTCCGGACAGCCCAACATCGGTGGCAGGGATCGTCAAAAGCAGGAAACCGCCAAGGGCTCCGCGACCCCAGAACGGCATTAGTCCGACATCTGTTTAGAATATGTGATGAATCAGCAGCGCAGCTTGTCTTCACAGTGATCATTGGTCTCAAAGAAGTCACCCACACCCGAACAACAGCGCCCAACAAACCTTCCTGCGGCCCAGGCAGTTCTTGCTGATGGAGAACGTCGGAAACCTGCTGGGAGCTGACATGAGTGATCTGTGGTCTTTGCTCAAGGAGGTCAGGTGCTACTATCAATATGTTCTTCTGTCTTCTTCCCACTTCATCGAAAACAGTGTTTAAGTTTAATCAAAAGTTGTCAGGAGTTTGCCCATCGAAATATGCAGTTGAGCTACGCCGTGGTAAATGGGCACATGTGTGGCCATGATGTGTCTTTGTTCAACATTGTACTAGTTACTGTGTGGTGCGTCCATGAATCCAGACACCGATCAACTTAAAGAATGTCTCGTCTCAGGTATGGCGAGAGAGGATTTTCATTTTAGCCCGCAAGCCAAATTTCCAGTTCTTTCGGGAGGCAGGGTTGTCTAATTCTGCGCCGTCTGTGCCACTGGTAAAACATTATATCACTTTAGCGCCACCTTGTCAGGGTGTCCAGATCATGCCTGCTGAGAAATTGAAAGCCTGGCCCGCTGCCCCCTGGCACCCTGAGTCCAAGCCTCTCATGAAGAAGTGGCTGGATCATAGCCAGAGTGATGAGGCAAAGAAACGCCTCCATGCGGTGGGCAACTGTGTGATACCAGACATGTGCCGATTGGCCTTGAACCTTTTGGCTTCTGAGCACCGTGCTAGGGGATGAGCTAGATGTGTTGGATGAAATGAAATGAACTTCCGTCATCGTTGTGAGTTGAAATGCTAGATTGAAGAGTTGGCTGATCCCACGGGTCGCTATCAGAAGTGTTGGAAGTCCTTGCAATTCAGTGCTATAAGTTAGGTGCAACAATCCTTGCAGGCTGTGGTCTACCGACATAAGCTTACCGCAGCTTGGAATCTGACAGGGGTGAGAACATGGAGAGTGGTGCGAACATTGGTCTTTTTTAGTTGAAGCCTGCAACAACACAAACTGCGAGAGCATCTTCAAGTTTTCGTACCCGCAGCTGTTTTCCAATTTTGGAGTGCGGCCTGCGTGTTCCGTCCCTCTGGCATGTCTTCCATTCGAACCTGAAGCTGGATGTCTCTCCCATGATCTCCCATGTTTTCAGTGCGTTACCGCTTCTTCAGGGCTCACATGTCACATGACATGCACGTCGCATTTGCATTTTGATATGGCTTCACAGTTTTGATTTGTCATTGCGAAACATGGTGCATATGTGGTCACACTTGCCTTCAAACATGTCATAACTTTAACTAACAATGCTGAATTATGTTGACTAAAGTTCATTTCTTTGTGGTTCCATGGCCCGTTTGGTTTTGGGTTTCGCAATCTGGGGTCTGCTCACCTTCAGCCACTTGGCTTTTTTCCACTCAGAACATGACTTACGTAGACCCTTCTCTTGGTTTCTTCCCATGCCCCACAACCATCCAAGGCTTGAGCATGAGTTGCGCTTCAAGTTCTTCCGCCTGTGCTGGGAAACAGGTGGGTGGTCAAAGGGGTCGTGAATCGTTGGTAACCATACGGAAATGTTTGTGCTAGGTGGGGGCTATGTCAACTACGTTGGCAAATGTTGATGAACTCAGTGACGATGGGGCTGGAGAACCATCCAAGAAACCAACGCCGAGCGGTCGGCGGGCGAAGCGACCGGGTCGAGGCTTCGTGAGAAAGGTGGCTAAGGTTGACACTTCAGCCGATCCACAAAAGCTCAGGCAATTGATCAACTCAAAGTGCGGTTGTTCATCGCAGTGCTTCCGGCCATGGAGGGTTGGCTGGCACTTGTGGGATAAATGGGTTTCACTCCGCCAGCGCTTCATTCAAATGACGAAGCTTGAGAAGGATCAACGTGTCAGGGACTTAGGCCTTTCCCTTCCAGTATCATTCCCGCTGTCCCAACACCAGCCTCTCAAGGTCTACAGCTTGATGAAGCAGCAGTCTGAGCAGGCGTGCCGGGGATCGCGCCATTTGGTGTTTGGAGGTCACTCAATTTGCCATCGTGGATTCGCCAAGCTTATGGGGATTGGCAAGGGTCGTTTTGAGCGCATGCGAAGGGCGCTTGCAGAAAATGCAGAGGACCCGCCCTTTGACCTAAGGTATGTCAAAACTGGTCCAAAAACACCATCGCCTGCTTGGTTCAGTGTTCATGGATATCTTACCAAGCTATACAATGAGGCCGCTGAGAGCATCCCAGATGGATTGAACAGCAACAAACGCCCACGACATGGGGTCAACAAGATTGACCCTCCTACCATGAACAGAGAAGGCATCAAACATCTCCCGCACGGGTCGATAAACGACTACTGGATGCAGTGTGTCGCTGCCCTTCCTGGCGTGAAGATTAGCAAAAAGCTGTTCACAAGTGTGCTTGGCATCAAAACTTGTTTTACAAAAAGTTTTTTTTCAAAACACAATAGGCGTGTTGTTGTGCTTCGTGCAAGCCTTAGGTATGGCAACGTGACTTCTGTGACAAACTCCGGATCCGCTTCCGGAGTCATCACAGCAAGTGTGGCCAATGTGTCAAGCATCGGCTAATCCTCAGGAAGTTAGGTCACCAAGGACCTGCGCGTCGAGCTCAAGAACAACTCTTATTCAAACACCTCTCACGTCAGCACCGCGACAGACAGCACTATTGGAGCATAAGGGCTCAATCAAGGCTGGAAAGCGCGAACAATCAGGTGTACACCCTGTCCTGCATCTTGGACAGCATGGATCAAGGCAAGCATGCCTGGCCCAAGTCCTTGAGCTTATATTCAAAGGAGTTCAACGCAATGAACAAACCACGGCTGGCATCGACAACTCTCATCATACACGGCCATTTGTTGGCAACAGCGATGTCCCCGCATGTTGTGACATGCAATTCGTCCAGGTCTTGCGAGATACTATCCCATGGACTTTCCGTTGTAGCACGGCGCCTGGACATGCGCTGTGTAACAGTGCATGTCCAGGCAGACAACTGCACGAAAGAAATCAAGAACAACTGTATTTTGAAGCAACTGAGTCTGTTGACAGCTCTTCGCAAGGTACGCGCAACGCAAGTGTCATTCTTGAGCTCGGGGCATTCCCATGAAGATATCGATGGCTATTTCAGCCAAGTAGCACAGTATTTGCAGTCAGTACCCGAGATGTGGACTCCCAAGGCCTATGTTGATTCCATTCAAAAGTTTATGGATTCCACGGAAAGGCGCCCATTGGAGAAGCACTATCGCAAAGCATATTTGCTAACGCAGTATCGCGGCTGGAAACTGAGTTTCGCTTAGGTTAAGCCTTTGGTGTGTTTCTGCAAGTCACAGTTTGGTTTCTTCTTCTCTGTCCTGATCCCAGTGCCTCAGCGGAATTCTGTTTCAGGAAAGGGTTTCTATCTGAGCGTTTTGGAGCAGCGCACATCACTGGAATTGGTGGTCCTGGAGCGCCACATGTTTTTCGTCTTGATAGACTTGAGGACACAGGAGAAGACTTTGTTTGGTTTTTCAGCATTACACAACCCTTCCCAAACATGCGCTGACTAACCGTCTGATGTCTTGGACTTCGCGCAAATCTCCAGCAGGCATCCCAAGATGTGACATCAACGACCGTTTCTGGCGCAAAAGGCATTATGAACCGAGCGGAGGGGATGTCATCCTCAGGACTTCTACGTGCTTATCGTGCTTTGTGAACAGAAACTCTTCAGTCAGTCTTTGGACAATAAATGTTTGTCAGGACCAAGCGGTTCATGAGCAATGATTCTTGGGACGGGCCACCTATCTTGTTCCTTCCAGAATTGGTAGCCCGTGGAATGCAAGGTGATTCACCACCAGGCAAACATCATATATGTTTTGTGAGATCGAATTGGAAACACATCGTTGTCCGGCTTGATCGCTGACTCGCGCAGTCTTCTGGGACAAGCCCGTCAATCCCCAATCTGAAGAGAACCGGGCCTATAGAAAGTATGCAGCTTTGATGAGCTTGGGCCTAAGTGAAATGACACAGAATCAGCATGAACTTTCGGGTATGAAAAGTTTGCCAGGCGCTGATCCTTTCGACATGCATGCGGCAGCTCAAGCGCTGGAAGAATATGCGAATGGTGTTCACACACAAGAACCCTTTCTCGATGTCAATTGGTGCAAACCCCAGTTGTGAAGTCTATGTTTTTGCAAGTCAATACTATATACTATATTTATATATATTTATATACTATATTTCAAAGTTTCTGTTTGGACATCACTCCACAGTCTCTGAGGGCCCTGCCTCATCTTGGGCCTGGTGTTGGGCCTGGAGTGGCCGCGCAGCCGGCAGCTGTGGGTCGAGATTTGGATGCGGTCAGAACCTAAATTCTTTGCAGTGTGTCTTTTTGACTTATACTCGAAAGAAATGGACGCTTAAGGCCCCAAATCCCTTGAACATGGTGCACCAGCGGCCAGATCGTGGGGAACTTCTACGGTACGGGAATGCTCGGAAACATCAAGCCTTGTACACTGCCGCCGCCAGGCTTTGGTCACATGGAGTTCCGATGGCAGAAGCAATCAAGATTGTTTCTGAAGCGATGAGCATCTAGATGGGAAAAGAGTCAGCTCTGGGATGAAGCAGTGGTTGATGGACTGGGGACCCTGGTTTTGTGAAGAACCCCCGCTGGTTTTGTGAAGAGATTGTTCCAAACAGTTTGAGGCATCCCCCAACCGAGCTGTTTTGTGAATAATCGGGTCGTATTTCTTCACAAACCACCTGTTCCCACGTCACAATTCACAAAATTTGTGTTCAGCCTACATTGGCCTTGAGACGGCAGCCTGGGAGACTGAAGTTTGTGAATAATCGGGTCGTATTTATTCACAAACACTATAGATAAATTTCAAGTGTTGTTTGTGAAGATGCTTCACTTCACAAAACACAATTCCCGCGTCGCAAAGCTGCCAGGTGCCCAGCATGCCGCCCAAGAAGAGGACATCAGGTGGCCAGCCTCAGGCACAGAGACCGAAGAAGGCAAAATCTGGAGAAGGAGTTTCTCCAGATGCGATGGCCTTACCTCACATGGTGATGTTTGAGGAATGGATGAACCTTGGATAAATTTGCTCCAGTAGTATACTTTCACAATTAGATGTTAGATCATATTGAATCCGCATCATACAATCACGCATCTTCCTGAGCCTCCAAACCCCACCAAAAAAGGAATCGTATATATTTGTGTCACACACCCCCCAGGAAAGAAGAGATTGTGGAGAAGGGCTTGACCGTGGATATCTTCCTGTCTCAACATCTTTCCGATGAGGCTTTCATATTTAATCTTTTGCGATGTGAAATCATGTTGAAATCCTTCACCACCTGCTTCTCAGGCCAACGCCATTGGCTTCTTCAAGTTCCTGGACAACAGCTTTCCAGCGACCTCGGGGGTGTCAGTCGCTGAGATTTGGTTTCTGTTGACACAGCTTTGAAAGAAAAGAATAGATCGTCGCTTTCGACTTAGGACATATTGTGGATTGGCTGACCTCCGAAATGGGGGCGCTGTGCAACTCCGACCGTGGCAACTGCCTTTCAGGGGAGACTTAGGTCTTCGTGGAACGGGTGACATAGCAGCTCAGCAAGTACAGCTTGAGGTTTGATATATTTTGAAAGCATCTCTTTGCTTGCAGTCTTAAAATGGATGTGAAATACTTAGGATGTGCAACGGAGCCTATGTCAACTAATACTACTCAACGGCATGATGACAGACGCAAACAAACCAGGAGTGGAAAAGGTGTGCTGTGCGTTGACGCAGAACAGCTGGCTTAGCCAGCCCTTGACGCAGATTCGAGCCCATGAAGATCTTGGCATCGAAGATGTCAAGTTGCTGAGCCCAGGGAACGCCTTTATGGTGAAGGGCTGGAATAGAAGCGTATGCTGTTTGACGGTCTGCTATGCAGCTTACCAGAATCCTCATCTGCTGCAGGCCAGGTTCTGTGGACTTTTGCTTTGCAACACCTTGCAAAAGAACATGTTTGCTTCACATGAGCGTGCAGGCCATGCCAGACCATGTCCGCGAGCGCCTTGCTTGCATCCCAATTGGGTGTGCTCAACAACGTGTACTCATGTTTACTCTTCCGTTCCCTTGTTAATTATTCTATTCATGTTCTGCGCAGGAGCTTCAGCACGATCTATGGCACTGCTGTGAACTCAGAGCTCAGCACCGCTGTCAGCACAAACAGAAGCCGGGCTTGAGCGACAACTATTTTACTAGTTACTAGTTACTAGTAACTAGTAGTTACTAGTGAGGAGGAAGTAATTTGAAATTCCTGGTAGTTGTGAGGAGTCACGTTGGGCTCCTCTGTGAGGAGGAAGCCTAATGCGTTTAATCTGGTCCACCAGCTGGAAATGATGATTCGCGGTGGCATGTCGCGAGAACAAGTTCTTGGAAGTCTCGAGGTGGACAATAGACTGACAATGATTGTTCATGGCATCAAACTACATCAAACTACAACATGTCATGACTAGTTGAAGTCTTTCGACCATTCCTGGGAGGCCACTGAGGGAATTGCAAACTTCGCCCACGCGTACAGCCTTGGAAAACAGGAATGTGGCGCAGCTGTGAACCTGCTTCAGAGGATTCCTTCTGAAATCAAGCAGGTGTTGACGCTATTGGTGCAGAGTCTTGTCGTTGCTTTTTCTGAAGAATGTAGTTCACTTAATAGCAACTCAGAGATAGTCAAACAAATGTTCATGGCAAAAGTTCATAGAAGTGCTAAAATCATTCAGTGAAAGTCTATTCGAGTAAATACACGCAACCGCGATTCCTGAATCATGAGACCCTGAGTGCCAACTTGCTGAATGGTGGATTTTGTTCGGCGACTGGAATTCTAGCACCGTGGAAACAGCAGCTGACAAACTCACCTGCATTGTTGCGAATCTTGGTCGTGCGCTTGGAGAAGGACTGGCTGGCAATTGCACCCAAGAACCGCCGGCCTTGGAACTTGAAAGATGTGGACTCTAGGCAGCTCATTTGTGGGTTTACCAACTGCTTCCCGTGTCAAACACTGTGTCAACATGGGTAACAACGATTCCAGATCTGATCTCCAACAATTGAGGAAAGCTTACAGCGAATCTGCGGGGGGTTCCTAGCTTGCCTGGAGCAGTTCCAAACCATGATCCCTGCAGCCTTTGCAGACCGTTGCCTTCCCGACATCCACAAAACGCGATAAACTTAGCCATTTCTATCTTACATCGTACCGCAGTAGTCTTTATTCACAACCATTCAAACTGACAAAGTTGTTTATGGGCAACGGTGCTGTGAGGTTCGAGTTGCGTCATGGAGACGCAGATCTTACACAGTTGCTGGAGGGATCAGTACCACCAGCAGATTTGCAAAGGGTCTCCATCTTTTCTTCGCATATTCAGAAGTACTATGCTCAGGCCAGGGCCTGATGTCATTTAGTCATGGCATGAAAATGAGATCATGGCCTGTGTCTGATCTGCAGATGGAGAAGGACAACCGCGACAAAGCAGCAGAGTCTCCTGGCAGATGTGCACAAAACACACCAAGTCTATGTTGTAATGTGTTGTGACGTTGAACTTTGAGGCTGAGTGCTCAGCTATTGGTAACTACATGGCATCAAACAGTGCTTCAAATGGAAGATGATCTAGAGAAGATCAAGCTGTGGACCAAGAAGTTCCAAACATACGCTGAACAGCAGGCCTTCTGAAAAACAAAGCTAATTGAAGTCTGTCAGCAAAGTAAAACAGTGATTATACATGATTGTACCATAGACGAAACCATGTTCTCATGAGCTGATCCAGGGAGCGCTGGACTTCAAGCACATCAATGACCGTTTTCAAAAAGGTAAGGAGTGGTGCAGTGACTTTCTGGAACGGAAGCATCAACTGATTCATGTCAATTCGCTGGTGTTAGCGCACAGCACCATCGTATCAGCCCAAGCGGAGATGGGACCCGACGGGCTTCTTGATCGAAACTACATTGCTTGCGTAATCATGAAGACATAGATAGAACAGGAAAACAATATGTTATGGCTTAGGCTCACAATCCTTGTGGTCGATGCAACGCTGTGGCCCACACGCCCCTTGCATTACTCTTTGCAAGTCTATGGATTCCCAAAAAGGTTAAGTGCGCCTGACTTGTGCCTCTCAGGTCAGATATCAATTGACGAGGCCATTCAACTCTGTGCGTCGGTGAGCTCTGGAAACACCAGCTCAGTTGCCTTCTTTTGCATGCCCCAATGTCACTCTAGCACGAAGCGAGACTCAGTGCTGAAGAACCGAAGACTTTTGGAGGACAAAGTGGGGGCGTGCCCTGTTTGCAAAAAAACATGAGACCAATTACCTTTCCCGTTCTAGATCGCACCTACATGTCAAACTAGTTTCATGCCATTGTCTTCCAGGTGCATGGATGTTTTCGAGCTCGCGATCAACTACGCTGATGCCCAGCATGGGGGGGACAAAAGAAAGACTTCGCAACAATGCACCTTTCATGCACATGGGTTGTCATGTCAGTTTTTGTGTGTTTTTTGAAAGTTTGTATTGCAGTGGTATTCAACAACTCCAAAAAGCATCATCCACCTAGCCCTGTCGCTGCCCAGGTATGGCTGCCATTTGTGCCTCGTCGAACTCGGCCTTCACGAAGTCCAAAGCTCTCCTGGGAAGCATTTGCGACATCGAACGAAGCAGAGTTGGAGAACTCCAGAATCCGGATCCCGAGAGATCGCTAGCGCCACACTGGCGTGTTCCTTGATTCAAATCATTGGCGTGTTTATACTTCGGAACTTCAGGTCATATTTTGGATATAGATGTTGGATCAGGATTGGCCGACATGGCTTTGAGGTCCAACAGAGAGGCATCAGTGCAACTTCTGGCATCATCAAGCACTTGCTTGAAGGTGTTTCGAGCAATGCACAGCAGCCGGTGCTGGTGTGTGACCTCTTGCCCAACAGGCTGAGTTCTAATGTTCACGCTAGGATTCAATGTGAGCTTGATTTCGCACATGTTCCAGTCTTGATGAAAAACAAAATTTTATATCCATCCTGGACCCTTTCACCGGCTCAGGTTCAGTGAGTGGTCCTTGGCGACGTGGGACTTGCAATCAGCTTTCCTGATGGAAACGAATCGGGAATTGGATCTGCGCTTCTTGGGGGTGTATCACTCCGACAATGCTGATGAGCTAAGTGCTGCCAATGAAGTGCTGATGGGTCGGCTCATCGCCGACTATTGGGATGGATGTGACAAAGCAGGTCCCAAGACCAGAGAAGCCAGTGGCTTTTCCGAGGCTTTTCCAACTTTGCAGAGCTTGGTTGTCAATGAAGGTGAAATCAAGTTTTTTGCTTGCAGTCTCATGTATGAGCAAAATGGAACACACAGTTCTGGTCATAAAGAAACATCGAAAACTACATGTTTCTGATTGGCCCCAAGGCTTCCAGAATTGCTGCAGCAGAAGTACTCGCAACAAGCTGGTTTGAAAGAGTTCTTAGAGAAGATCTCTACGGACGCTGACATGGCTGCAGCTCTGAGGTCCTACCATGCAGCCAGCAATCGAAGCAGTCCTGGAAAGCCAGTTGCAGCCGCCACCACCATGACCAGGACGCTCGCGTCGCCTGAGTGGACAGGCGATGCACCGCTGAATTTCCGCAAGCCGCTCAACTTGGATGAGGTTTCCATGAGTGACTTTGAGTCTGGAAACACGCAGCTTTGATGGTATTGGTATTATGTTTGTGTTTGGTGAAGGTTGGTTGAAGGTTTCATCCTTTTTGCAGTGGTTTCCTAGTGCGATCTAGTTCAACTGGGGTCGCTATGTGCTAAGGGTGGAGTGCATGGCAGACCTCCCTCGAGTATCAGGGGTGAAGATTTGCATCACCAGTGGCAACCACTTGTGGCTTATCAATAAAAGTGGGAATGGCTCTGTCGTTGAGGTTCCACCAGGTGAGCTCTTTGGCTTCAATGTTGGCCAATTCCAAGAAGTACCGCTAGGCCAGGGACTTTTGCTGATGTACCACGAAGGCTTAAACATGGTCAGAAAAAGAAACATAAAAACACCTATAATATCCTATATTCCTTTTATCTTCAATATTTCCAGGCAGTGCTGATCCCTCGGATGCGCACCTTGGCTGGGTCATGAACCAAGACAACTCCTTGGTGGCCATGGCGGATACCAAAGAGATCAAATCTCTTGCCGAGATCATGTGTGACGTTGCCAAGCATCAGGGCGTAACCGAGATCAGAATTATTGACCACAGTGTGCAGCCTAAGGCCAGTGTTTACTTTGAACGCATGTGTCAAAACAGTGCCTATTGAAAGCTGCGTTTGTCCATCTGCTTAAACTTGTCCCTTTGCTTTCTTTTTATGAGCTTTCCATCTCCACCCACGCAACTTCATCCAACCCATCCACCCATCATCCAACCATCCATCCACCTCATTAATGTCTATCGACCTGTGGGTCTATCCATTTGTCCCTCCATGCTATCATCATATCCATCCATCCCCTCTCCATCCATTCATTGTCGTCCCACTCTCCATCCATCCTTCCACCCATGACAGTTGATGTTCCTAAATTGGCAGGCTGGACCTGATGGGAGGGCTTTGGCCTATCGCTACAACATCTCACCTATGGGCAGTGTAAATGCATACAGGCCCAAGGAGGTTGGAAGTGATGTCGACCGGATGAGCATGCGGTCCGTGCAACTGGGCGCTACGTTCAATGCCAAATACTCCCAGTTGCCGAAATGGCAGCTGTGCAATTTGATGTGGGAGGCAATGTTGTGAATGCTTTTTGTGGTAAACCCATCCCAATACATGTACAGTGCCATGTTTTAAAACATGAATTTGAGAATTGCAATCTTTGTGTCTACCCCTCAAACTTGCCCTCTAGGTCAAGGTGGATGCATCAGTACCCGCCGTGCTGAAGCCCATCAAGCCAAAATTCTATTTGTTGGGTGTGATCACCATCAAAGATGGATACGCAGTCAAACTGAAGTGACATGCTTCCAAACCGTTGGGGGTTGGGGTGTGATTGCATGGATGGCTAGTGGTGTTGACACTCCAGGATTTATAGTTCATAGTATGTTCAACTCAGTGTTCAACTCTTGACAAGCTTTGCTGAATGAAACACCTATGCCACTCCAAATGTCGAATCACATAGCTTTTTGAGAAGGCGTGGGAGAAACCTGTGCCATGGGTAGTGTGCTTCAATGCAACCCGGATTGGCGGTCGAGTCCAAATGAACCCAGGCTCAGCTCTGAGATGCCACACTGCAAATCTGAAGAACCAGTCCTGCAATGCAAGGGTGTTTGAATGAATTATTTGTTTGGTCTTCCCCCATAGGCCTTTTTGGATCAGCTCATGATCAGCTCATGATCGGCTATTTAGGCTTGTGTGCGATGGCATTGGATGCTGTCGATACATTATCTGATGAGGAACACAAACCGCCAGAGCCGCAGGGTGGTGTGCTTCCAAAAGCTAAACCTAAGGGTAAAGCAAAAGCTACTCCAAAATCTGAAGCTTCTTTGCCAGTGAAGCCGAAAGCATCTCCTGTGAAGAAGAAACCTTCTACCCTAGAGACACCTTCTGTCCAAGCTTGTGGTGAGTCTGTCAAATCCGTGAAGAAGACTCAAATGAAACGTCCTGCAGCTGCATCGGAGGCACGCCAGGAACCTTCCAAGGTCTCGATTTCGAAAGGCTTGTACAAGAACGGCATGTATGGTTTCAAGATCAACGGCAGTGAAAAGCTACGAGTCCCTTTGATGTGACACTCAAAGCAATGACATGAACTTCTTAGAGGTTTTCAGGATCAATGAGAAACATTTTTTGTTGAATCATGTTGCATCTAAGTTGAAGCCGGTGGATGGCCTCAGTGCGGAGACACTGCAGGACATCGCAGCTACTTGGTGCAAAGTGAATGGTGAACATAAATTGTTGGCAACTTGAATGCGCTGCATCTTTTTGTTGGCTCTCTTTGCATAGTTTCGATTGAAGGTTGCGGTTCGAGATGAATTGATTCGCACAAAGGGTGATGTTAAAGCTGGATCGGCCCTCATTGTGTCTTAGCCAACAATGGATTCCATTGGATCAAAATGCTCACAAAAGAATCCAAAAGAATGTGACTGCGGACGCAATGAACTCCTAAGGACACAATGGTGGCCGCTGCTTTGGCCAAGAGCAAACCGTCGACTGAGTTGGCGGATGAGGAAGCGCCTGAATTGGAGGACGCTACAGCTGAGGGGGAAGAGGAAGAACCTGCAGAATGTGATGATGTTGAGGACATCGAATGAGTTTGTCTGACATGTTGTTCAGCTTTTCAGTTTTCTGAAAACTTCACAGCTTTTGAACCATGCGGGATCGGCGTTCGGCCAGGTTTTGGTGCGAGAGCCCCTGACCCGTGCGATCGGCGATCGGCAATCATGTGTCATCCGCAACAAATGAGGTGACAGCGGAGGCCCTTGAAATCTTTTGAAAAGGTTTGATACCCTTTCGATGTTTCAAAGAAAACATAAGCATCCTTTGCTTCATCTCCTGTGGCCTCAAAGATTGCAACTAGCTTGCAATGTTACTTGAAAGTTCAGCAAAACAGTGTTAAAACACGTGAAAGCGGAGAGTGCAAGCTTGGTGACACTTGGAATCGTGCACCGACAACAGTCGGAATCGTGCTGCAAAAAACTGGCAGTTCTTGAGATTGCAGCTCAGGGGGATGGGACACATAGACGAAACTCCGGTGTTGAAAGATTTTGTGGTCGTTTTTGGTGGTTCTTAGCCATAGTGGACCATGGTGTGGAGAAACTAGAACTTAGACATGCACCGTGTGGCTTCTAAAAGTGCAAATCGTGAGCCGTCACTGGTGAGAGACTGGTTTGCGTGGGTCTTTGTGAGTTCTCAGTCCGTGCCCAGAGTGGGGTTCTTACAATCCCTGTGCAATATTATGTGGCAAATGCAAGGCTCCTTCATTTATGGTTTGGGGTAGCCTCAGTCCCTAAAAGAACTTAAAGGTTATCGGTTTCAGTTCTTTCTTTTACATAGTTTGCACGGTACTTTAAAGGTCATGGTCCCTGCTTGACAAGCACAATGATCTCAAATTGAATAAGTCAGCATATCTTTTCTGTCTGAAGGTCATGCTCTCTGCTTGGCAGTTGAATAAACAAACATTGCCGAGCTGTCTAAAGGTCATGGTCTCTGCTTGGCAAGCGCCAATGGTCTCAAATTGAGCCAGTTGCATTGCTTAGCTAAGTATGTTTGGCCAGATTTGGCCAAAGCCCTGGTTGCAAAGCAAACCCCTGAACCAAAGGAACTGGGAATCAGATAGGCATCAAGCCTGATCGCCGGAAGTTCAGCGTGATTTGCCTCAGGGACCCTAGCTCGGGACGGCCAGCCTTTTTCGTTATGGTCGGCCACTCGTTTGGCCTCGTTTCTGCAGTGTATAACTACAATCGTAGATCTGCTGCTATTAACGAGATCTTGCTTTCCCTTTTCGGGCTAGTCGCCTTTAACTTTTACGATGATAAGTATGGGTTCGAGCCGATCGAGACCGTCAACTCGGCCTTCGCAGTCGCTCAGAAGGTTCACTGGTGGCTACTGAGTAGGCGTAGTACTTATATGTGTACTTATCGTACTTATACTTATAAGTATGATAACTATGTTAAGTCTACTTATACCTAAGTAGCACAAGCGCGACCTAAGTCTGACCTAATTGTAACCTGGTAGAACCAAGGTTTTTCGAAGAACCGGTCATGTATCGCAAAACTCAACAAAACGCAGGAAGGACATGGCGCGCAGAGGGGGGCACACACTGCTCTATACCCGCGGAACCGGAAAATGCTGCAGCGGTGCGCATTCACTCCTAAACAAAAAACAAACCTCTGCTGCCAGGTGCGAGACAAACGCGAGACAAGGCGAGACAACGTGCGACTATCCCGCCAGAGACGTTTTGTGGCTGCCGGATGATTACGCTCATTGGTGCGAGACAAACGCGAGATATGCGAGACAATGCCGAGTCTTTGCCCCGCCCTCCGGCGCGAGACAAATGCGAGACATGCGTCTGATGTCCCCAATCGCCTATAGCGGACCCAACAGCCCCATCGCAGGAAGTCTGCCAATTGCGTGTAATCTTGTAAGCCTGCCCTCTCCGCCATTCTCCTCTCTTTGAGCCGAAAAATCCTGCGGGTGCGCGGCTGACTGGTAAAAACATAGCGTTCTTAACTAGAATCTAAGTACGCTAAGTCCGCAAAGTCTGTTAGGTCTATACTTATACCTATACTTAGTTATTTACTTACAAGTGCCATGCATGTACTCTAACTCCAGAATAAGTATCGAATAAGTTCGATAACTTTTGTTGTACTTATCATACTTACGTCCATACTTATCATACTTTAACTATACATTATCTATACATATCCTGGTTATTTTATGCTTATAAGTACGACCGCCTACTAAGTAGGGGCTGCGTTCGACTCGACGAAGCTTCAGCTTTCGACGAAGCCGGTCGTGCTCGGTGTGACCTATAACCTTGAAGACTGGATTCTCGAAATTAAAGCCTCTCGAAGGACCGAACTGCTCGAAGAGATCGACTCGATCCTTGATCAAGGCTCGCTTGACCCGGGACGCGCAGGCAAGCTGAAAGGCAAATTGATGTTCGGAGCCAGCCAGCTCTGGGGCAAGGTGGGACGAGCATTCCTCAGACCTATCTCAGAGGCAATACGCTCGCGTCGCCGCCTCCGATCGTTTTGAGTTAGATCCGGCCTTGGTCGAGTCACTGAATCAGTGGCGGCTTTTGATCGAAGCCGGACCCCCAAGATCGATCGATTTTTGCGCCAACAAGAGAGCTGATGTTTTGATTTTCACTGATGGTTTTTCGCCTGATCCGAGAGATACGATCGTCCTGCCGGATAGGATCGGGGGCGTCATTTTCGATCGCCGACTTATGCAACCTCGCCAGTTTACTGAGGTTGTTCCGGAAGAGATCAAATCCAGGTGGCTCAGCCGCAAAACTCAGATCATACCAGTGGAGATGGTTGCCACTATCGTGGCCCTGGAGACGTTCTCACTCAGACTGTTCAGAGCCGACCTTTTTCTGTTCACTGATTCAGAAGTGGTCGAAGCCACGCTCGTGAAAGGTTACTCGTCTCGCGAGGATGTCTGCCTCCTGGTGTCGGTCTTTTGGGACCGTGTTCGTGAGTTGCAGTGCAGAGTGTTCATCGATCGTGTCGCCACGGACTCCAACCCATCGGATGCTCCGTCGCGCAATGACCTCTTGACTGGAGAGAAAGCCGGCTGGGTCACGATTGACGCAGTTTGGCCACCTGCTCTCGATCGGGACATGAGCTCACAGCATCGTGATCAAAAGCGCTCTTACCACGAGGAAGCTTAGGGGAGGGCCTGGGTTTGAGGGTTTGATGCCTTCTGACCTTTTTCATTTGACCTACCG